GGTACTGGGGTGACCCTGGCTTGCAGAGAAATGATAAGATAAAAGAATAAAGTGGGGGGCATTTTTTTCTCACTGGGGTTTTAATGGCACCCCAGTGCAACACGGACCAGCTCGGTTTCCTCCATTGGAAAGCTACATCAAGCTACTTTGGATTTCTTTAAAAAGACCAACCCCACCATACCCTGAGCCCGTGAACCCATGGCCAGGCCACAGCTCTCCCTCCATCTGCCTCTGTCCTAATCCACCATTCCAAAGCCACGGCCTTGTGCTTTGCCACCCCAGCAACAGAGCAGGGAGCAAAGCAGAGCCTGGCAGCGAGCTGCAGGCAGCAGATCTTGGGTCCCCCTTGAGCTTTGCTCTGCTGGTGACAGGGGGAGGGAGAAGGAAGCTCTCACATTCATTTCTCAGAGCTTATTTTGGGAACCGGGCGGCCAGGCCATGGTACTGATCCTCTTCCAAGGCCTTCTTTAGCCTCCTGAAATGCCCTTCAAACCTTATCCCAAACTTGTAGGCTTACAAAGTTAACCACAGCTGGGAAAAACGAAAGGAATGTGCAGGCCTGCCCCCTTCCCTAGATGCTACCGCACGTAGCTGGAAGCTTGACTTTGGCCTTAAGGATCTACATGTCCACAACTACACCCAAACTGGCTGCTGTCCCCAGAAGTCTCCTCCCTGCAGCCCTTCCCTTGGTTATTGACAATAACCCACCTCCGATTCCCCATCTAAAATGCCAGAAACCATTCACAACCCTAGAAAAGGAGGTCTCTGCCCTTCTCCCTCAGCACTTCGTCAAGGCAGGCAGCAACCCTGGTGGAGCCGGCACCTTTATTCAAAACAGGCCCCGACTCTGATGAATGGTTTGCCAGTACAGCTTCTCTTAATACATTTGTTATGTCAAATCTGGTTTAGCTTAGAAGGTGAAAGAAAATCCTGCTCTGCCTGCAAGCCCACCCCCTGCAAGCAGAGAACCAAGCCAGGGCTTTGTTTCCCATCCCCAGTCCTCACCGGGTTCCTTGATCCCTGGGAGCCAAGCACAGACACAGCCCAGCTCCCCGGCCGTGATGGGCTCTGCCAGGCTGCCCACAGCAAGAGAACAGCTCACCCTGAGCAGAGTCTGTCAACACACACCGACTGCAAGCTGCTGCATGGGAAGGTGCCATCTCCACGGTCTGACCATGAGGGTACCAACACCAACAGCTCAAGCCTCTTGAGGAGGCTCATCCTTTACTCCAGGCTCTCACAGCACAATGAGACTCCTTGTAAGCACTGTTTGTCAAGTCCCAAAAGCCTGATCAGTGCTTGGATTTTCCAAGCCCAGTCCCTGCCTTCAGCAGTTAGTTATTCAGACTTTATTTGTATACCCCAAAAACCCTGCATGTTCCTACACAGAGCCACAGGGACGGGCTGGGATCGTTCTCCGACTGCCAGTCACACTCTGAAGGCAACAGGGGCTACATGCAGGCAGCTCTGTTATTGCCACCAGAACTGTTGCAGCCACTCATACAAGAAGGCAAAAGAGAAAATCAGGGTCTACGTCCTCGAAGAGATGAGGAAGGACTGTCCGGGCACTGCGGGTTTTGGAGGAAACCCATGGTCCACAAGGTCCACTGAACAGGTCAGAGTAGCACAGCACAGAGGCTGAGAAATCTCCATCCTTGGATGTACTGGACAGTCAGCAACAACAGAGGCACAGGGGGACAGGACAGCTCACCTGGCAGGGGCTGCCCAGCACAACTTTGAGGCACACACCACCTCCCTGACACCACCACACTGAGCACGCCTGTCCACAGAGCTGCTGGTGAAACAGAACAACCCTGGGAGAAAGGAGCCAGCAAAAACGAAGCCACGTTGATGTTGTGAGTTGGGAATACAGAGGCCACAGCAGGAACAGGTATAGTGAAATATACTATTTTATTGCTGCACACATGCTTACACATCTCTTCTTAAATATAATGTTGCTCTGATAAATTTTACAATCTTCTTAATTCCTCTAGAAGTCAATAAAAAGGACAGAGGGAGCAGGACACAAAAAGGACACAGGCAACAGAAGAAAACTCAAAAGGATTTTATTCTGTGATAAAATTATTTGCAGCAAGAATAAAGTGAACTTAAATCTAAGCTCTGACCCAGCTCATCTTCATTAGAGAGCTTGCCTGCATGCTGACTATCTGCTGTGCATGCTTTTTGACAGCCCTATTTCACCAAAAGGGATGGGGTGGGGGCTTAAAGGACCCCGCATACCCGAACAACCTGGGATGTGACCAAGTGCACGCAGACAGAGGCGGCATTTGCTTGGCAGCCCACGGGGAACTGCAGCTCAAAAGGCCACACTGACCTTTCCTCCCACGTGTACAGCCGCAGCCTCACCCGCTCCGTGCTCATGGATGCAGGGATGGAGCACTCAGGAGCAGCCACATGGAAAACGCTGCCAAGCGCTGCTGCTCCTCCTCTGGCTTTGCCTCCTACCAGTGTCCACGGGCTTTAGCAGCTGAGGCACCTGCAGAGAAAAGCATTAGCGCATTCCTGTTGCTGCATCTTGCTCAGTACAAGCGGGAGGCAAAGGCCACGTCCTGTTCTCTGGTGGCTTCGTGCAAGCCTGGTGCAGGGCTGTCACAGCCACGGTCAGGGAAAGCTGAATGCCAAGATGTCAGATGTGGAATTTATGAAGGAGGAGCGGAGGGGATGTGATAAACCAAACACCCTGCCTATGCCCAGTGTCATCTTCAGCGATACAGGGAGGAGAACACGGGAACCAAACCAGCTGTCAGTTCTGCAGCAGGCTTTCATGAGCCTGACACCCCACTGAGCAAGAGTACAGGCAGTCCTGCTTTCACCCTTCTTCTCCAAAATATATGGAATTCATATTAAAGCTTTCTCAACAGCCCTTCCCCTCCTCGAGTTTACTGAGACGCCTTTATCAGTGCAAGTTCTGCTGGGCTCTTTTCCTGTCAGAGCCACGCTGAGCTTAGCGATGGCCACTGAAGTACCCTCCACAGATCACACAACACACACACAGCTCCTCCCGTCACCACTCCAAACAGCAGCACGCTCCTGCTGCTCCCTGCTGCTGTGCAGCAACACATCCCTACAGGGACACATCCTCCTCCCTCACCCTGATACAGCTGCAGAAAACAAACCACAAGAACTCCTGGCACGCACTCGTGAGCGTTTTGAAGCCAAAGAACTGAAATGCCTTGCCCAAATAGCCCTGCTGCCACTATCCCCTGCCCCAGGGACTTTTTCTGCAAGAGTTAAACACAGATGATGAAATGCACAAGCATCCGGGGTTCAGTTATTTCAATGCACCTCATCCCTGCTCCCTCCTGCTCTGTCCCCAGCTTCTATTAAGTGCAAGTCAATCCTGAGACCCGATTTTGCCAAAGTCTGGCTTCTCCCGAGTCCAGCAGCCAAACCCCAGTGCCTCCACCTCACTGTGACCAAACCCAGCCTGCTGTGCCCAAAGCCTGCCCACACACCTGCAAACAGCTTCAACACAGATACAGGCAGAGGCTCTGAGCAGTTCTCACACGGTGTGGGAGCACCAGGCTTTCACCTGGTGAGACGAGCAGAGAAGAGAAACCCATCCTCCCAGCACACCCACCGCCGAAGCGAGTCGCTGCCAAACACTGGATCTCCAAACCCTTCCCTAATCCATGTGCAGCAGCACCACCACCACAGGAAACACCACCGTGGAGCTGCAGGGTAATCCATGCCCAGTTCCCACCTCAAACACTAAAAGCACACCTGACATGGATTATTTCAAGCTCTTGCCTCACAAAGTGACCAAAATGACAATACACATTAGTAACAGCAGCCCTCTGCCTGTACAAGATCCTCCATGTGCTTCACACAACACCTCATCTTCCTCCCAGCTCACAGCACGGCAAAGCACGCCCAGAGCCTGAGCCTTGGAGACCCAAAATTCTCCTAACGTGCCGTTCTGGAGATGAACAGCTCTGAGGGCAGCCCATTTGGCAAGGCAAGCGGGGGCATCGACTGCTGCTTAGTGCCAAGGAGAAAGAACATCATTATCCTCATCAGAGGTCCAGGGAGACAACACGCGATAACACGACCGACTGCAGAACACAGATCCAAAAACATTCATTATTACAGACAGTGAATTTCCTGGAGAACAATGAAGCTACGAGCTCAAGGCTGAGCAACACCAGAAGGTCATGAGTGGGGCAGCTGCCCTGTGAGAGACCCTAAAGGGCCCTTTGCCTTTTAAAAAACGATTTCTGGTGACCCCTCTTCCCTGACCCACCAGCAAGTCAGCTTTGTTCTACCACAATGGACAAAAAGAAACGGAAAAGTGCTGTTTCCAAGAAGAAAGTGCTTCCTTCCCCTGTTAGGAAGAAGAGGGGTGGTCTCCCTCTTTTTATGCATTGAAAACTACTGCTTTCTAAGAATGGAAGGACTCTGGTCACTGCTGTATTCCCAAAGTTGTTTGTTCAGAAAGCAAAGCTTTTTAAATTTTGAGCACTTCAAAGCAATGAAAAGCTTGGGAAGACCTGAAAAATCACTTTGGTTTTTTTTCCATCTAAGAACTAGAACGGACAACAGTGCTTTCCACATAGCCAAATATTCTGGTGTCCCTGTGAGGGGAGCACTGCCCACCTTTGCCAATCTCATGCTGACAGTGAAAGTAAAGGCCACCTCCCTTCCAATGTACTCATTTAGAGATTTTAATCCAGTTGTCTGCTGGTGGCAATTTGACGAATATCCCAGCATGAACCAGTTTCATAAGCGTGTTGTCCGGTAACAGAACAGGATGGGTCCCAACGCCAGGCAGTAGCAGGACCCCAGCACAGCTCCCTTGCCACCCGCAACAGCTCCACATCGTATTGTACAGAGGAGCAGCTACTGCCTGGGGCTGAGCTTTGGGAGCTACCTCTGAGAGGAGAAACGAAAAACCAAAATAAAACCAAACACAAACCAGACACGCAAATGTTCAGACATCAATAAATTAAAAAGAAACCACGCCTGAGAGCAGCTGGGATGGAGGACAAAGAAGGAGAAGAGACATTCAAAGGCTCGGATGTTCTTGCACTCCAAGCCAACCCGGGGGGGGCTGCGCAGGCTGCATACGACAGGCAGGGTTTGCACACATCAGCACTCAAGCCCTATGCTGGCCAGGAGGTTTTCCAGAGCTTCAAGTTTCTGGTTGGCTTCCTCGATGGCGCTGTAAGTCTGCACGTTGCTGGTGATGTGGAAGCGGATGTCGTCGATCAGAGGAATAGAGTCCGTCTCCTGCCGCTCCTCCACCGCCTCCGCGTTCTCCTTCACAGCGGCTGCAAACTCCTCCAACTCCACCAGCTGGACAGGGCGGACAAGAGAAGCATTAGGAAGACAAGGAGACAGGTAAAGGATTGTAGAGTTGGGATAATGGGCTCAGACACTGTTGAGGGATCCCACATACGAGACGGGAATGCCAAGGGCACATGGAGACCTCAGACGTCTCCTATGTCTCCTACAGACACCACTTGGAAACGCATCCTGCCATTCATCCTCAGGAGGCAGCGAGACTCCCAACAATAAATGGTCACAACCATAAGCAATCTGCACCTCAGACAGTGCACTGCAGCACTCACTAACTACGCACTCACAGTTCTGGTATGGGGGCACATGAACGTGCACTAACTCCCTCCAGAAAGGCTCTCCAGCAGCAACCGTGGCTCCCAGCCCCACCACCAAGCAGCAGATCCCAGCAAGGCAGCTGCTCCATCCTGCACCCAGCCTGACAGAATCAGGTCACCCGTGAATGACTTTGCACCGAGTTCCCAGAAACACGTGGTGAGCTGAGGGCTGAGAGGCAGTTGCCGTCTGTCTGTGCCGCTGAGCCGTGCCTCGGCACAGCAGGTTGCTGAGCCATGCTCTGCGCTAAAATCACTGCCAAAATCTCTCCCTCTTGCCATTGTCGGTGCCATCGCCACAAGCTGCTGGTGTCTGAACAGCTGGGGCGACTCCATTTGTACCAACACCCTCAGGAAGGCACATTTCCAGTGCTGGGTCTGACTGCCCCCACTCAGGCTCGAGAAGGGGAGCACAGAACCAAAGCCCCAGCTTGCTCAGTTGCTACTGGGGCTGTTCATTCAGCTTCCAAACCAGATCCCTTTTTCAGAAGCCAGAATTCAGGTCTATCTGGGTCTGACATGTCTATCAACCCCAAGCTATGCAACGAACAGCCCCAGAATAATTTCCTTCACTGCTTTCACATGCCAAGAAGAATTTCACACCTTTCAAGCTGCAGGTCAAAGTGTTACGTTCCCATGTGAACTGTACAAGCCATTTATAAAGACCTGTCTCAGGGTAAGAACACCCCATAGATTTTAGTTTATCCATCTGTATTGCAACTTTCTCCATGAGTCCTGAAACTTCAAGCTATAATCACTCAGGATTACACTAAAATGGAGTCCCATAAAGAAAACTTCAGCATTAGACTCGTTACTTCTTGCTGTTCAACAGCCAATTTCCTCCGTGGAAACCCCTGCTGTCAAGATTTATCATCCTGGAGAGTAAAGATCACGTTGCTTACTCCTCTCCATAGCATTATGCCAGGAAGAACTCCCTCCAGCAAACACAAAAAACCTGCATAGGGCTTCCCTGCACGCCCCGTTGGGTTCTCCAGGCTGCAGCTGGTCTGGTCAGGCCTCACCACTGTTGCACTGGGCATGGTGACAAAAATCTCAGAGAAAGTCCCCTGCCCATGGCACTCGCAGAACTTTTGGGGCATCCCAGAGTCCACAGGGAAGTGTCAGATGGCAATCGGTGACATGAGGTACTGCCACTCATCCCCTGTCCTAACTCCCCATGTGCTTTGCTACTTAACAGCTGCTCATGTTCAGGAAGCACCTTAAACCAGAGAGCAACCACCTATTACAGACCAAAGTACAACCACTAAACCTGCTGTATCTACGGCTCACTGCGCAAACAGATTCACAGGCACACGCATAAGTGCAGCAGGGAGTGCTGCTGGTACCTTCTCGATGATCTTTGCCATGTACTCCGTGCACTGGTCCTCCAGCCGGGTCAGCTGGAACAGCTTTGCAATCCTCCAGATGTTGACGACGTTGTCCTCATCGAGGATCTGAGCCAAGGTCCGGCCGCAAAGGCGCTTGAGCCCGGGCAGCAGGTACATGTCTGCCACGCACAGCACATCGTAGGCATTTTCAGGGGATAGCTGGTGATGGGAAGAGAAGAATTACTGCCCAGTCCTATCCACTTTGCTTGTCTCTGGCAAACTGCTGCCTTCTCTCGTGTTTTAGCAGAGATTCCCTAAATTGCTGTTTGGCCCATCACCAGACAAGTGTTACCAGTACTATGGAGAGCAGGTCCAGGGAGGTGATCATCCCCCTG